GGGTAGGGGAGGGGGCTCCCAGCAGCCCCCAGCGACCTAACTTTGCATGGTGCTTAGTCGAGGCCTCCTGTGACCTGGCTCCTGCCGTCAGCTCGCAGCGCCTGACACTGCATGGCAAATTATACCTGGCTCTATCTCCCGTCCCCAGCCCCCTACCGTTCCCCCTCTTTAAAAAAAAAAAGATACAAAAAAACCTTTAAAAAACTCCATGTTTCCTAATTTGCACGAAATTTTCTACCACATGATGTGCCTTGCCTTCCGAAAATAAGTATTACCTTTAAACAATATCAGCGCAAAGGTAGCTGCATGCCCTGCTCGTGTAGTTAAAAAGACAAAACAGTGACATGAAATAAAAAGTAAAAATGGAAAAGGGATGTATTTCTATTTGTAAAGAAAAAAAAAGAAAATTTTTAAACAAAAAATCATACGCTAAAAGAGCAATCCACAGAGCAATTGCCCCATGACCTGCCCCCACGACCCGCGCCCCACTCTCCCTGGGCTCTGTCGCCATGGCTCTGCTGCATTGGGGGTTCTCCCTGGTGCTCCACCTCCCCTAGCCCCATCCCCAGGCTCCAAGGGGTCATTTCCAAAGCCCCCACCCATAGCAGCGGACAGACCTCAGTTCTGGCCCCTGGGCCACAGGTCAGCCCTCCCAGACACCACACATGCATGCAAGTCCCGGGGAGGTCCCCCCATGGGGTGGCCACCTTGCCGACAGCCAAACTCCCCCATCTTCTCACACAAGCTGGTGTCCCTCTGGCTCAGGGTCAAATTGCTCCCCCAGCCCCACCCTCAGATGTCCCCTCTCTTATCCTGGGCACCCCCCTCTTTCTTACCAAAGGACCCATTTGTCCCCCATCCTCAGAGACCGGCCTTGGGTGGCAGTTCCCTCCTGCCCTCTCCTTGCCTCCAACACCCAGTTCTATGTCTTCCAGCTGTGACTATGGAAGGTATCTGGTATGAAACAAACAAGAAAACCAAACTCGATATATGCAATATCTGTCTGTCTATCTATAGGTCTAGCGCAGCCATTGGAGGCCTGGTTAGGGAGGCCAGTGAGGGCAGGGACATCGGGGGAGGGGGGGGCGGGCAGCACCCTGTCATAGGCCTCTGTCCTGGTGGCTGGCTATGCTGTTGTCTTTTCCTTATTATTTTCTCATTTTCCTTTTTCTTTTTTTCAATTCTAATTTCCTTTGCCTTTAACTCAACCAAAGATGAGACAATAACAGACAGCGTGGTGTCTGGGCAGGGAGGACCAAAGGGCTGGGTTCTCCAACCTCAGGCCACCACCACCTCCAGCCCCTACCTGGATTCCCCCTAGCGTCTCCTGTGGGAACACACCAGGCAGAGGAAAGCCCCCGTTCATTCGTCTGCCTGCTGCCCCCTCTCCAGACTAGAATTGTCTCCAGAGCAGGGTGGGGCTTTGCAGAAAGGTCCCAGCTTTCATCCACCATCTTATGCTCATCTATATTTTCTTCCCAGAAGACACCTCAGCAAGCCTTGGGACAGAGGGAGAGCCCAGACATCGGCCTCAGCTGGCCATGATGCTGCCCTTTAAACTGTCTCTTGGCCAAAGAGCCCAAGGCCATGTGTGTCAGTTTTCATGTGGCTGATGATATCTGGTTCTTATTCTCCCTGCCCCCCAGAGAAGTGGGGAGCAGCCGGTGGCAGAGGGCTAGGGGACTCCTCCCCAAGGGGTTTGCTGGGACCGTCTTGTCCCTCCATGACCTGCACCCTACCTTGCCCCCTCCATTGCCCCAGCTGTGTGATCTCTTCAGTGCTCTAGGCACATCCTTCCCAGCCAGTACGTTATCCCAGGGTTGTTCCCATTTCTCTGAAAAGCAACAGGATCCCTGTTGGTCAAAATTCCCAGGCCCCTCACCACAGGCAAAACAAGGCAGAAAGACCAGGAGCCAGACCCCTGACCCATCTCTGTAGTTTGGGTTCATGCCCCGAGGTAGGGATGGGGGACAGGGTATTGGGTTGATTTTTGTGGTTTGTTTGTTTTTACATGTATGAAACTGACATCTCAAACCCTATCCCTTCCTAAGCCTGCCATCACTCACCACTCATCCATCCCCACCCATACAAAGCCCCCCAACCTGACCCTGGGGTCCAGCTCATGCTGTGGAAAATAATAGAAAGGCCTCCCAAAATACACAGATTGCCCCCATCCCTTTCTTGGATGAGAGCACTAGATAACGACCAGGGTGGAGAGGTCTCTCAGAGACTCAGCCCTATCTGACTGAGAACAGGGGTGCCCGCGGTCCCCTATACCCAGGTCTGGAACCCAGCTTCTGGCTGAGTTCTGATTCCCACCTTGAGCTAGACAATCAGACCCAAAAGGAACCCCAAAGGAGACTTGGGGGCTGCGGCAGCTCCCCAAGCAGCAGATAATTCCAGCCTGAGCCCCATGCATCCTCCTCCCTGCTCCAGAACCTTCTATCTTTCCCCAGAGACAGTAGTTCCAGGGGCAGGCAGACTTGACTGGACAGTGGCCAGTTAGGACCCCGGGGCCAGGAGCAACCGTGCAGCCCTCCAGAAGAGACAGTACACGGACCCCCTCCCCGCTCCGGCTTCTCCAATGGTACTTTGACCTCCAGTGTAGGGCTATACTATATATATATATATACATTTTTGGAATTTTTTTTCTTGTAATACAGATTATACAGTGGCTACTTTTTTATTTTGGCCTGGATTCTCTCTCTCAGGCCCTGATTTTTACTTGCTTTCTGGAGGGTGTTGAGAGAGAGGTTCCAGAGATCCATCCTCAAATCCGGCTTCCTCTGCTCCTCCTGTCTCCCCATTTCTGCGCCTTTGGACACTTCCTGAGAGTCCCACCTCCTAAAGACACAGCCTCCCCCCATCCATCCATTTCTAAACATTTCAGAATGAATGGGATCCCAGCTGGCCCCCGAGGCGCCCCCTCCCCCACATCCCCCCAGGCAGGGACACAGACTCAAAGTGACACCAGCAGGACTTGTTGCCAGCGATACCAAAACAGACTTCCCAAGCAGTGCCTCACATGTCTGCTGGTGTGGCTTTGGGGTTCTCCTCCTCTGCTCCCCAGGGGCGGGGGCCCAAGGCCTCAGGAAAGAGGAGGTGGGATCCAACAGAAATAAGGGCTGGGGAAGGGGAAAGAAGTCATACCCCCAAACCTACCGCCCTCCCAACAGCCCTCCATTCACTGGCTAGCAGAGGACCCACTGGAAAAGGGAGGGGAGCTTTCCCAGTCCCCCGCTAGTTGGGAACCCTCAAATCCCACTCCCAAGATGCCTTGACACTTCTGTTGATTCTCCCATCTTGGGTGCCAGCCAGGCCCTCCCCCCCAAAATAAAACCAAAGCCCCATTCAAGTCCAGGGGTCCTGGTCCCTGCCCCCAGCTTTCTGCCCTCCCATCCCCCCAGGACCCCACAATGGGGAAAGATAAACAATGTCAGAGGAGGGCTGGCCGAGTGGCTCAGTTGGTTAAGAGCTCGCTCAAGAGTTTGAGCTCTGAGCAACAGCAGTTCGAGTCCAGCCCGAGCTGAGCAGCTGCTGAGCTGCCAACAGGTGGCAGGATGGCTCAGCTAAAAAAATAATAATAATAATAAAAAATAAAATGTCAGAGGGACAGAGCACATAGTGTGGGGGGCAACAGGGAGGAGGGAGTGAGATTGAATTTCCTTCCTTCCTTCCTTCTTTCCTTCCTTCCTTCCTTCCTATTTTTGGTGGTGTTGCTGTTCATTTTCTTTTCCCTCTGAGATATTTTTTGAGGTTTTTTTTCCTCATTTTGTATTTTACTGATATTACCAGGATAGTTTACTCTATTTCTTGCTTTCTGCTTGCCTAACACACCAGGTAACACACAGACACATACACCCCATGCTCATGAACCCAAGTCTGAGAGAAGGTGTGGGCTGGGTCTGCTGCCCACCTCGTCCTCTCCTCGTCCTCCCCCCCACAACCCCCCAGTGTGGGGACAGGATTAAGGGGACCTCTGGGCAGATCTGGGCCCATCCTTCTTCCCCTCCGGCTCACCCACCCTGCTCCCGCACATCATACTCCCATCATAACCTGTATATTACGCAGTCATTTCGGTTTCCGCGGACGCGCCTAAGTACCATTTACAGAAAGTGACTGGCTGTTATTATTTTGTTTGTTTCCCTATGCAAAAAAAAAAAAGAAAAAAAAAGAAAAAAAGAAAAAAAAAGGAAAGGGGGGGTTCCATAAAAGATTAAATAAAAGGCAAAAAAAAATGTATAAAAATTAAACAAGCTATGCTTCGACTCTTTCTGGCTGTCTCGGGTCCTCCTTTCTGTGTTCAGTGCCGGCTGTTTTGTGTTCTGTGCCAAAGTGAAGGGAAGAAGATGAAGGGGCAGGGGCTGGAAGCAGGCTGGCCCCAATACTCTGGGTAAGCTGGCAGGTGTTCTGAGACCTTTAGCTCAAATGTCCCCAGGGTACATTCCACAATGTCTGGGGACATCTGTGGTGGTTATGACTGGGGAAGCTACTGGCATCAAGTGTGTGGAGGCCATTGATGCTGCTCACCCCACAGTGCCCAGGACGGCCCCTCAAGGAGAACAGTGCAACTCCGAATGTCAGCAGTGCTGAGAGGGAGACACCTGCTTTAGATGGTGACTTTGGGTGAGCTCTGGGGCCAGGTCCGTCCCTTCCCTCCAACCCCACCCCACGCCCACCGCAATGCCCCTGATGGCTCCAACCCTCTCCCCACTCCTAGGATGGGCCTTTGCTCCTGCCCTCAGCCTCGATTTTCTTGAGCCCCCTTGTGGGCGGACCGAGGACCTGGACCCAGAAATGAGATTCTGGGGGGAGAGGTCAGCAGGAGGCCCCCGCCCGCACACCCACGGTCCAGACTTTCCCCGCAGCCAGAAAGGGGGACACTCGCAGGAGCTGCTTTTGCGGAGTGAGGGGTCTCAGTTGGTGGGGTGCTCAGCCGGAGGGGGCTTAGTTGTGGGGGGGGCCCTCAGCAGGGTCGGAGCTAAGTCCAGTTGGGGGAGTCAGTCTGGCCTTTGACCTCAAGGAAAACCTCTGTTTTTCAGCCATTGGCCCCTAGGATGAAGCAGTTCTTTGCTTTGGGGTGCTGTCCCAGCACTGCAGGCTGTTTGCCATCCCTGGGTCCCCACTAAATGCCATAAAAGGGGGCTGGCTTGTGACAACCCAAAAGACGCCCCCTAAAATTTCCAGACGCCCCCTAGTGGGGAAGTCCCGCCCAAACATCCCCTTCTCCCTTCCCTCCCAAACATCCCCTTCTCCCTTCCCTCCCCTCCCCAGCACCCCGCCCACTGGGAACCCCCAGACTGGACACAAAAGAGAGGAGGCAGAAAGTTCCTGCACTCCCAGAGCTGTGGTCTGAAAACACACCCTCTGACCTTCAGAATCCCCCTAGTCTAAGGGGGAAGGTTCATTCACTCTGCCCAATCTTCATTTCAGCGTAACAAAAGCTGACATTTATTAGATGCTTTTTGGGCTCTGGGTTCTGTGCTCAGGATTTTTGTAGACATTATTGCATTTAATCCTCATGAAGACATGAAGAAATAGTTATTTTCCTCTCTTTTTACAGAACAGGACACTTAGGCACAGAGAGGTTAAGTTACTTGCCCCAGGCCACACAGCTAGAAAGTTGGGACTCCCAACTCTCTCTGTGGAGCCACCACCAGGAATGCAGGATAGGAAGAGTGGGGTGATGACGCTGTGCACCCCCACACCCAGCTCCTGGGTGTTACAACTTCTAGAACAGGGCCCTGAAACTCAGCATATAGTGGGAGGGGCCCTCATCTGCCAGGAAACAGCCTGGTGCTCAAAGTTCATGGTCAAGAGCAGCAAAAGGGAGATTGCACGAGGAGGGCTGGCTCTGCCCTGGGTCCTGCAGACTGGCAGAACTATTTGCACGGTTTCTCCCCACCTTCCCTCTTGCCAGTGAAAGGGGGCTTGAGCAGGATGTGATGGCGATTCCCCCAGCCCCCATGTGGCAGAGACACAAACCGAGGCCAGGAAAGGGGTTGGCCTATGGACTCATGGGAACAGGGCCTCGAAAGATCTTAGAGGTAGGAGAGCAGGAGAAGAGCTGGATTCTATGATGAACTCCAAAGGGCAGCAGAAATCAGGTGGGAAAAGAAACCAGGCAGTGGGTTAAGAAGATGGCTGCAGTGCAGACTGGGTAGAGATATGAGATGGTGGGGATCTCGGGGATGTGGTGAGCTCCTTGTCCAGGGGTGCCCTCCGAGCTTGAGAATTACCAGGTGAAGACCAAGCTTGGGGAGGGGGTGTGTAATGCCTAGGTAACATGCAAAGAGCCCTCTAGGAGGGATTTGGGGTGGGTCCTGGGTCTTCTTCATTCAGGGACACTACCCTAGTGGAGTCATTTCGCATGCCAGGACCAGGTCTTTGCTTATAGGGTGCAGAGCAGGTATCAGTGCATCCCTAGGGGCTGCCTGGAAGAGGTGAGCAGGAAGCCTTCATGCGGAGCTCACCATTCTTGCATGGTTTGAAGGCTCCTCTTTCTCTTCCAGCTCCAGCTCCAGCTCCAGCCCCCAGTTGGCCTCTCCTTCCTTTTCCTCCTTTCTCACAGTCTCCCCTTCCTTCTCTTTATTACTGTGGAGACAAGAAGGACCCAGATAGCCCAATTTAGTAAGGACTTACAGGGTTCCAGAACCTCTAAGTCCTGCACCCTTGTTGTTCCCATCGTCCAGAAAGGGATGTGGAGACTCAGGCAGGTGGGGACACTTTCCCAGTTTAAACAGGAAGGAAGTGCTGGAGCCCAGGCTTGCGTTACATGAGCCCAAACCGTGCTCTTAACATCTGGTCTCTCTGGTTTCCTGGATCTCAAAATTGGGTGAGTGGATGGGTAGAGATGGAGACGGACCAATTGATGGGTACAGAGGTAAATGAGTGGGTGGGTGGATGGATGAACAGATGGACTGTGGATGGGTGGTAGGAAGGTAGATGGATGGGTGGATGGACAGACGGGATGGATGATGGAGGGAGGGAGGAGGGGAGGAAGGAAGAAGAGAGGGATGATGGATGGCTGGAAAGAGAGAGGGTTGGATGGGTGGATGGATAAATGGATGGATAAGGGGATGTGAATAGGAGGATGGATAAATAGATAGGGTGAGAGGCGAGGTGATAAAGACTACAGATCCCATTTGAAGCGCACACAAGTATAGGGATAGGGTTTTCTGTGAAGAAGCCACCTCATTTGGTAAGTAGGTAGTCAGGAGGGAAGTCAGCAAGATTATGAGGCCCCCATTGATTCTGAATCAAAGAATTAATCACCCCCTTCCCCCCACCCCTGCCTCCTCGGAGGAGGCTGAGAGGAGAGGGGCTTAGAGAGGCTAGGGACCAATGGAGCGAGGGGCTCTGAGGGGAGAGGGTCAGGGACGGAGCGGCTCAGAGAGGATGGGGCCTACCTGTCCCGAGACTCACTGCACCAGACAGCGTAGACAACTGTGAGGATGAAGATGAAGAAGAGGAAAGCCAGAGTGGCCCCCAGCCCCACCAGCCATGGCTTCCTCTGGGCCACTGCGGGAGGGAGCAGAGTGGGGTCAGCAGCCTGGCCACCAGGTTAGGGCTCCCCCCTTTTCCTGGCTCTCTGCCCCCTCACCTAGGCCTTACAGGGTTGGGCCTGAACTGGCCACAGAACCAGAGCTGCCAGAAGGGAGAGTCCGCCGGGAGTCATCCGGAATCTGTCCATCCTGGTCCTTCTGTCCTCGCCCCTGCCCAGGAGGTTCTGAGGTGCAGCCCTGATGGAGGAGGAAGTGGACAGCACCCCAGGGCAGGGTGTGGCCGGCACCACCGCAGGAAGTGGGGGGTGGGGTGGGGCTCCCTTCCCTGGGTTCCAGGCTCCCTGGGGAGAAGCCCAGGGTCCCAAGCATCCTAGCACCCTGTCTCCCTGAAGCTTACTCTGACCACCTCACTCCCCACAGCCAGAGCCCTGAAAGGGGGAGGCTCAGGAAACGTGGGGAACTCATGTCCTGAGCACCTACTATGTGCCAGGTCTTGCAATGGCTCTTAAGCCCCGATGCCTCCTTCAAGCCTCACACTAGTGGTCAGAACTCGTCTTCCCTTTGCAGAAGAGCCGGCTTAAGGCTCAGAGATGTCAGGTCACTTCCTCGGGGCCATATAGCACTGCAGAGGAGCAGTCCTCCCAGGTAGGAACCACACTGAGGAAAGAATACCTTTCACCCCAACCCTCACTCACCATCCTAGGACCTGAACCTCCAAATTTGACTCTAGCCACAGCCTGCAAAGGCTCCCATATTTTGGGCACCCTGAGCATCCCTCCCAGCTCTGCCAACAACAGCTAGGGAGACCTGGCCAGTGGCTTCCCTCTTTCTAAGCCTTAGGATTTTCAGCTGGAAAATTGGACTAGTTAGGTACTGACGGAGACTGAGAGAGAATAAAGATGCCAGGCGTTCAGTGGGAGCATCAATTAGGGTGTTTATTATGTGCGTTCTTTGAGTATTTATGGTTTTCCGCCCCCTGGTGGACAATCCTGGAAGTGTTCTCAGACAGAGCTTTTTGGGCAGGATCCTACCACCCCACCCCACTCCAGCTATGGGCTCCAGAACAGAGCCCCAAACGCCATACTTTGTCAAAGACCTCATTAAGAATATTTAACTTATTAAGAAATAGTTAACATCCAGGGCAAGGTCCAAGATCCAGAGAAAGTGAGGAAAAGGGGGAGGCTGGAAACAGGAGAAAATGCTTGTTTCTTCCCAAGAAAATGCAGGAACCCACGCCCCCCCACACTCCAAGACCCAGTTCTCAGAAATGGAGTCACATGTCCCAAACCACCGGGGAGGAGGGAACAAGGCTTTCCCAGGAGATTGCTCTCAGGGCTCAAAGTCCGGCAAAATCAAGATTGCAGGGGGAGTGTTTACTCTGCCCAGCGCATCTGTGCAATGTGATCTTCCATACCTGTCCGGGCATTGCCCCCAAACCAAAAGCTACTGCCCACAGGGGGAAACAGTCCCAAGAGAGGACAGGAGCCCTTTTAAAGGGCTGTGATCGATTCTTTAACGCAGGTCCTCATGAGGTAGCCCCTGGCTCATATTGGTCCTGAGGCTTTGTGGGAAGGAGGAGGTTCTGGCCAAGAGAGATCAGGCAGAGGGAAAAGAAACTAGGCAGTGGGTAGAAGCAGGGGGAGTCATGATATTGTGGGGGCTTGGGAGTTTCTCCATAACCAAGTACAAGAAGAATCACCAGGCAGAACAAATAAGGAAAGAGGGTACACAGAGACCATGTAAGGTGCAAAGAAGGGGCAGGGAGGGCCTGCCCTGTATTCCAAACCAGTCACTTCGATGGCTTTAGGTCCCAGTCATTGATTATAGGGTGTGGAAAGGGCATCTCTGGGGGTCTGCCTGGAGGAGGTGGGCAGACAGTGTTCACATGGCCGTGTTCTTGTCTTTCCCCTGGTCTCTGGGCTCCTCATTTTCCTCCAGTTCCAGCCCCAAGTTGCTCTCTCCTTGCTTCTTGGCCTTTTCCTGCTTCTCTTCATTCTTCTCCTTCTTGCCTTCTTTACTGTAGGGACACAAAAGCCCCAGACCACAATAAGAAACAGAGACACTCCCATTTAATGGACACTTACTGTGCCAGGCCTTGTGACAAGTGTTTTATAGAAAGTATCTTCATTGAATTCTCAAAACAGCCCTAACAAGGTAGCCTTGTTGTTTCCATTTCACAAAGACAGAAATTAAAGCTCAATTGTCCCATGCATATACAGATGGATGAGTGGAGGGATGGCTGGCTGGAAGGATAGATGGATGGATGGATGGATGGATGGATGGATGGATGGATGGATGGATGGATGGATAGGTGATTGGTAGAAAAGTAGTTAGGTGAATGGATAGCTGCATGAAAGGATGAATAAATGAATGGGAAGGTAAGTGAATGAACTGGAGGAAGAAGAGAATGATAGATCAATGGATGGCAGGGTAGATGGGTGGATAGATCAATGGACTAATAGGCAGGTGAATTGATGGATGAATGATGGATGGTTGGAGGGTGAACATTGGGTAGGCAGATGGAGGGAAGAAGGGAAGGAGGGAGGGAGGGATGAAAAAGGGAAGAAACTACCAATGTAGAATCATGTGGGACCTAGACCCTTCAGCACATCCTGGGAGTAGGAATCACATTTTAGTGGGGCTGAGATGGGTCTTATACAAAGCAGTCAGTCAGGTCCACACCTCTCCATCAGGCACATCTTGGGCTTAGCTGAGAATCTTTCAGCCAAGCTGCTCCCCTCCCAGTTCTGTGCTCCTGTCACCAAGCCTTTTCTCCCCCAAATCCTGAACACACGGCTGTGGGACACAGTGTCAGGAAGGCTGGTGGTCAGGGTGGGCTTCTGTGAGAAGGAAACATCTGAGCCAGCCAGAAGATACAGGAAAAGGGGTTCCAATCAGAGCAATAAGTGCAAAGGTCCTGGGGCAGGAATGTGCTTGAGGTGTTCAAGGACAGGAAGAGGTCATCTGTGCACACCCACCCAGAACCCCTGACCCCCACACATGTCTGCACATGCTCACACAGGCAGTACCTCAGGTCCATGTCCTGGTATAGGTGGGTCTCCATTCTGAACATGGATTCCTCATCCTCAGATCTGTAGGAGAGAGGGAGACAGGGGGTGAGGATGGGTGAAGGGCAGGAGGTGGGGATAGCCTCACCCCCACTGGGGGTCATGAACTCCAGGAAGCAAAGAGGCTGTGGGCTGCACAGCTGTGCTGGTCTGTGGGATTGGGGTCTCAGGAGCAGCAGGGAACTGGGGAGAGGATCAGGAAGTGGGAGGGGGTGCCCAGCACTTTAGGGAGGGGGAGGGATGGGGAAGGGGGCACAGGGACAGGCAGCTTCGGGGTGTGCAGAGGGGCTCCCACCTCCTTTTGGAGCACCAGATGCGGTTGGCCAGCATGAGGACGAAGACAATGAACAGGAAGCCCACAACAGCAGCCAGGCCCACCAGCCACGGCTTCAGGCGGCGTTCTGTGGCTGTTGAAAGGTGGGGGGGAGGTGGGATTCAGAGACACTTTACCCCCCAAAGTAAGAGGAAGAAGGGAGCCAGGGTTGCTCAGACAGATGGGGTCTTGGAAAGGGGCTGGGTTTTAGAGAAGGAGCTCACCTTGGGGAGCAGGGCTCCAAGAGGGGCCTGATCCCTTTTCTCTTCTGCCTGCCCCCTCTTCTCAGAGTCCTCAGTTTTTCATTATTGAAAATGGGGAGATGGGGAGCCCATCCCCATGACCCCTCCCTACCCCACCACCCGGGAGGCGGGAGCCCTACCCTGTTGGGCTTCCGCAGGCAAGAGGAACAGGGCGCTGAGCACGAAAAGGGTCTCCAGGGTCCCCATGGCTACGGAGGAGCCAGCAGCCCGAGTGCACAGTCCAGGTGGGTGCTGTCCTCTTTGGCTGGGCGAGGCCCTGCCCAGCCCCTGATAAGGCACAGGTGGGTCTGGAGCAGGGGCAGGCCCTCCCTTCACCCCACCTGGTTGGCATCCCTCCCTCCCCCTGGGAGGGAAGACTCTGAACCTGGTACAATGATTAACTTGGGGAGCGCGGCCCCTGTGCCTGCCCACGACCACCTGCCCTGAGGTCAGCCATGCTCCCTGCCACAGGAGCTGCACTGAGATTGCCCTGAATTTCCTTCATGGGCCTGGGCTTGGCTCAGTGCTTTCACATACTATGTTTCTTCTCTGAACACCCCACAAAACTTGCCACCTCCATTTTACAAAGGCTCAGGGAGGCCAGGAGCCCCGAGGTCATACAGAAATAGGCAGAACTGGGTTTGACCCTGGGTCTCTGTCACCACTAGCATATGCTGCCTCTTCCTGGCTCCCTTACCCCTGGGGACCCACAGCTACTGAGGGGTAAACACAGGGACTGAAAGAAATGGGCCACGTGCCCACCAGCCATCTCCGATGTGGCTGGAGAGCAGGACAGCCCGGCAGCTGATGACTCAGGCTCCAGGCTTTCCTGCCCATCAACCTTGGTCCCTGGGTTGATTAGATAGGGGGCCCTGCCCAGGCAAAGGGGGACCCCGCCCCAGCTGACACAGGACAGCCACGGCCCAGGCACATGACAGGAAGGCCAGGGGGAGGGAGGGCCTGGTCCTCCAGGCCTGTGAGAACTCTGCAGTGTCCCCTGGGGGCTAAGGAGATGCCAGCATCATTGCACACACATTTATGGAGTGCCTTCTGAATGCCCTGTCCTGTGCAAAGCTTAAAAGGGAAGGAAGTCTCAGGCGCTGTCCTCCAGGAGCTCTCAGGCTGGTTGGGAAGTCAGGACCGCCAGAGACAGACAGATCCAGCGGCCGAGCAGCAGAGACAGGAATAAGGTGGGAGATGTGGGTGGAGAAGATTTGGAAGTGGGGGGCCCACTTACTCAGCACAATAGCAGGTACATACTAAGCACTAGGTAAGGGCTGGCAATTATTTTTTTAAGTCTTCTTGGTGTACTTGGTTTACAGACTACTGACAGCTTGATGGAGGATGGGTGGGGTTAGGCTCTGGGAGTTGCGGGGAGCAGGAGTGTGGAAACAGCCAGTGTCCAGCCACCAGAACCTGCCAGCCAAGAATGTCCTCCAGCACGACAGGGCACATCAGTGGAGAAAGGACTCTGAGCACAGGTCATCTCTACAACGCCAAAGGGGTTGGCGTCAGGGTCACAGGCCCAAGGGCAGTGCCCGGCTCAGTCCAGCCTCCAGAAGGAGCTTCGGACGGGTGGGTCCTTGAAGGCGACGGAGGGACGGTAGGGGGCCCAGGTGGGGGCTACTGAAGGGGCGCCCTCATCGCCCACGCCAGCGTCCTCGTCATTCCGCCAGGCCAGGGCCAGCTGGAGGTCCAGCTGCTCCAGATCCTCACTCTCCAGGCTCGGGCAAAGCTCCCTGGGGGCGTCATCCTCCCGGTCCGGCTTCGGGCCGAAGGCCCAGTCTGCGGCAGGAGGCTGATGAGGCGCCTCCCTGGGCCTTGTCCACCCTCTGCCCCCTGCACTGACCCCATAGAGGCCCTTGGCCTCCCCAGGTTCTCTGCCCATCTTCCCACCCTCCCTGACTGGGAGAGGCCCTTGGACCCCCCAGTGGCCCAGCAGTCTCCCAAGCCAGGCTCATGGTGGGTTGGGGCTCACCAGTCAGGTCGTGGGCGAGGTCCTTGATGAGATGCCCGACAATGGCATAGGCCACGACCACCACCAGGAGCGCAGCCAGCAGCAGGTACAGCACATACCTAGGCAGGCGGATGGCATCCAGTGGCGGCGGGCGGTACTCCTCATACAGCGGCGGGGCCTGGGTCCAGCCCTGGGTCCCCTCCTCGTCTGCCAGCTCCGGCATGGTGGCCACCTAGAGTGGGAGCAGCCCGGACATGACCCATGCAGCGGAAGTATTAAGGGGCTTTGGGTAAGAAGATTAGGGCTCCCCTATGGCCACCATCTGCCTGGATGAATCACATCACAAATCACTTTTGCCCACTGGCCCTGGCCCTGGCTCTGCTCCAGCCATACCAGCTGCCACCCTGCATGTCCACCCCCACCTCAGGGTCTTTGCACTGGCTGTTCCCTCTCCTGGGAAAATCCCTGCCCTCATGGAGCTGACATTCAAAGTGGGAAGAGGGACTGAGTAAAACAGAACCTTAGAGTAAATGATGTATTGGATTAGAAAGTGAAGAGTGGTATGGGGTGGAGGTGGGGGACAGAGACCATGGTCTAAGCAGCGGTTCTCAACCTGTGGGTCGCGACCCCTTTGGGGGTAGAACGACCCTTTACAAGGGTCGCCCAAGGACCATCGGAAAACAAAAAGATACTTACATTACAATTCATAACAGTAGCAAAGTTACAGTTACAGAGTAGCAACGAAAATAATTTTATGGTTGGGGGTCACCACAACATGAGGAACTGTATTAAGGGGTCGTGGCATTAGGAAGGTTGAGAACCGCTGATCTAAGGGGATAGCACTGTTTGAAGGGGAATTAAAGTTTAAAACAGAGTAGCCAGGTCCATACCAAATGACACTTGAGCAGAGACCCAGAGGAGGAAGGGAACCAGCTATGGGAGAACCAGGGGGAAGAGTGCTCCAGGCAGAGGGAACTAACAGGCTGTACGAAAGTCCTGAGGCAGGACTGTGCCTGGCACATTGGAAAAACAGTGAGGAGGCCCGTGTGGCAGGAGCAGAGTGAGTGAGGGGGAGAGAGGGCGGCGAGAGGGAGGAGGCGAGGGCAGGGAGGGGATGGGGGGGGCAGTTCGTGCAGGGCATTGAGGGCTACAGGGAGGACTTGGACTTTTAACCCAAGGAGGTGGGAGCCCTGGAGGGCTGTGGGCAGAGGAGGGATAGGACCTGACTTGGGTGCTTACAGGCACCCTCTGATGGCTGCTAGGGGAGGACAGATCAGGGGGAGACCAGGGAGGAGGGAACTGAGCTGCTCCAGGTGACCCGAGTGGAAGCTGAGGAAGGGAAAGAAGTGGGCCGATCTGGGATAGATTTTAAACTGGTCACACCTGAATGTTTGTAGGCTGCATCTGGAATGATGGAGTTTCCATTTCCTGTAGGAGGAGCAACTTCGGAGGTAACGAGGAATTGTAAGGACATACTGGGTTTGGGGTGCCTTATCAATATCAAAGTGGAGATGTCGAGAGGCAGCTGGACCCCGAGTGTGGAGCTCAGGGGAGCCCCGGGATGGAGACAGGACTGTGGGTGTCATCAGGCGTAGTGCGGGGTTGGAGCCCCCAGAGTGAAACAGGCGACCTGGAGGGGCGTAGTTCGGGGAAAGAAGAAACCACAGGATCCAGCCCTGAGCAACGAGGGAGAGGGGAACTGAGCAGTCCCTGAGAGGTGGGAGGGAAGCTAGGCGAGTGCTGGGCCCTGAGGAGTTCCCAGGAGGAAGGGGGACCAGCCGGGTCAGACGCTGCTGGGAGCGGGAGGACAGAGACTGAGATGTGACCACCAGATTTGGACACTGGGAGGTCACCTGCGGGCAAGGACAGTTCTGGGGACAGGAAATGCAGAACCTGGTTGGGGCCGGTTTATGAGCGAGAAGAGAGTGGCATGGGAGCTGATGAGAATTGACAACTCTTCCTTGGGCTTTTACCATCAAGAACAACAGAGAAAAATAGGGGCGAGAGCTGGATGACAGTGGGGTCAGGAGGGGCTGTGGGTTTTTTCCCTTGTTTTTAAGAAATGACCACCTGTGCTGATGGGTAAAGAGAGAAAACATGAGAGAATGGAGAATGGCTGCAGTGACAGCCTAGTTAGCGACAGGGACTGGGGTCTGGTGCATAAATGGAGGGGCTCAGGCAGCTGGTGCCGGAAGCGTGCCTGTGACACTGAGATAAATGTATATTTGGTCTTCATCCAGGTTCCTGAAACCAAGCTCCTAAAACCCTGTTATTTCCTGAGTGATGAGGGTGAAAGGGCCCCTTTGTGGTTCTTAATATGCCTCTCCCACCACACTTGAGCATATGCTAATGAACATGGGGCAGCACTGGGGCTGATCACCCACAAGTGATGACTTAACAGGCCTCCGTAATATCCTGAATGCAAAGCCTTGGGGAGCTTCCACGTGTTAGGAAGGAAGTGTGCCCCAGTTCCACGGGGACAGAAGCTCCTGCACTGGGGACCTTTCCTGACCTCGCCGTGTGCCTGTTCATCTGTGTGCTTTACAAGAAATTGGTAAGTAAAGTGCTTTCCTGAGTTCTGTTAAGCCGTTCTAGCAAATCCTCAAATGTGAGGGGGTGGTGGGAACCCCAGTTGGTCAAAAGTATGGGAGGCCTAGCTGGGCTTGGGGCCTGTCTGAAGTGCAGGTGGTCCTGGGGAGCTGCACCCTGAAACTGGGGGGTCTGTGCTAATTCTGGGTCGTTAGTGTCAGGACTGAACTGAATTGCAGGACACCCAGCTGGTGTCTGCAGAGAAATGGGAGAATTGCTTGCTGTGCAAAACCCATACATTTGGTGTCAGAAGGGTTGTAAGAAGAGATTGTAGTAAAAACAGGTAGTCATGGGTCGGCCGAGTGGCTCAGCTGGTTAAGAGCTCACTTGGGAGCACCAGCTCTGAGCAGCAGGGCTGCGGTTCATTTCCCACATTGAGGGCCAGTGATGCTCGCCCTCTACAGCTAAGAAGGTGCACAACGGCTCGACCTGGAGCTTGGCTGCTGTGTCGCTGGGCGATGGTGTAAGCTGCAGTGGGCTGCCTGGAACTACGTGAGTGGCTAGCAGCCAGCGTAGTGGCCGGCAGCCGGTGTGAGCTGCCGGGAACCACTGAGAGCAGCCAACCAATGATCAGCGACCGATTGCCTCACCCGGGAAGAGCACAATGATCATACCAACATGGGCCAGTGAAGCAATGTCCTCAACTAGACTGAAGAACAAAAATCGCAATTTGTCTACCTGTCTGTTCCCCTTTCCGATTCCCCAACGCTGTTCCCCTCCCCCCAATTCCCCAATAAAATCTTTAAAAAAAATAAACAGGTAGTCATGGTGCTTGAGGACCCCACTTCCTGGTACCTGTGCCCTCACAGAATCCCCTCCATCTCCAGGAGGGTTGTTGTTGACTCAAAGAGAAAGCAGCAGAAACGATGATGTGCCACATTTGAAATGAGGTTGTTGCTAGGCTGGTTTCATAGAGCCATAAATGGGTTGCTCAAGGCTGCACCGGGAGGAAGGGAAGAGTTGGGATGGGAACGTATAGCCCAGGCTCTTAGCCATACCACCAAACCCCTTCTTCTATGTCCCCATGAGGGTCTTGGGAGGGCCAGGCTCAAGGGCTGCTTCCCTAACTGACCCCCCTTGGAGGGGGCTGACTGGACAGATATTCCCCCTGGGAAAGGTGGTGAAGCAGGGACAGGGGCTTCTGTCAGTCACACGTCAGGCACAGGGCAAGCAGATCACAGAGCTGAGCTCTGCAAACATCCTCCCCCACCCTCCCCAAGTCACTTAAGACACGTTCCTTGAGTAGCTGACCCAACCCCTGCAGCCCCCCCTACACACTCAGAGTCATCACTTGGCAAAAATAATTTAATGTTCTACTTAAACAATGACCAGGGGCCTGCTTGACCCTCCCCAGCCCGAGTCCCTAGCCCAGCCCACCTAGGGGCCACCTCCCCACCTTGCCCAGGCCCTCTGGGACAGATGCCCCCACAGTGCCTTTCCCTGCACCCCCTCACTCCTGAAGAAGCTCCCCAGAGCACAGCCACACCCCTGCATGCCCTCCTTCCCACACTGACATCCTGCCCCATGCACTGCAGCCCTGTGCTAAGCCTTTTGATAGCGGGACAGCAGATACCTCAGCCTGGCCCCACGGGGACTCAAGATGCAAAAGTGGCCATGATCCCACCAAGCAGACAGGTCCAGGGAGCTGGGAAAGTGAGATCAATTGACACCCACATGGTTCATGTGCCAAGTCCTGCAGGGGAGAGGCCCAGGGCCAGGCTCTAGGAGAGGGGAGGGCGCAGCTGCTCCAGCCCATCAGCGTACTGGAAGGCCGGCCCCGTCTCATACTCATACATGTCCAGGGCCACCTCGCAGCTCTCCCGTACCACGCGCTCAGGGTCGGCCACATGAGCCCGCAGGGCAGCCAGGCAGGCGGGCCGGGCAATGGCTCCCAGGGCCTCAGCGCATTCATGTCGCACCATTGGGCTCTCAGTTCGCTGGGCCAGGGCAGCTGCCAGCTGGGGCACCACCGCCTCGTGCTGCAGCTGGCCCAAGACATAGCCGATCTCATGGCGGAAGAGGGCACTGCCGCAGTGCAGGCCTGTGGGAGGGAAGGGGCAGAGAGGTCACTGGCTGGGCGGTACCATCAGGGCAGGTGGGGACACTCAGGGATCCAGGGCTGGGCACTTGAAGGGCAGAGACAAGTAATAATTACAGGAAAGGGTGAAGGATGCTAGAGTCAGGCTGCTGAGGTTTCAAATCCCAACTATGCTGCTCGCTGACAGGCTGTGTGCCCTCAGCCAAGTCTCTCTGCCTCTCTGGGCCTTAGTTACCTCCATGGAGAATGGGAGGAATAAGAGTGTCCACCAGCCTCTGTGGATGAGTTAATTTGTGCAAAGCCTGTGAGGAAGTGCTGGGAGCTGAGCTCAGGGGGCATGTCCCCTGGGACGAGTTTCTCCATGTCACAGACATGGCCACTGAGCCTTGCCCAGGGACCCCTCCTCACCCTCAGCCAGTGCCAAGGCAGCCTCCTCACCACCCGCATCGCGCAGGGCAAACATGGCTCGGTATCGGTCGAAGAGCGGCCGGGCCTCATCCAGCAGTGCCTCCCTCAACCGCCCCACATCATGCTCCTCGGCTGGTGGGGCCGGGTCCACTGAGAGGTAGGGTCCAGTTGGTGCCGGCTCCCCACTGAGCTGCTGCAGCCACTCCAGCCGCCGGAGGGCCAGCTGGCACGTCTCAGCCACCTGTAGGGAAAGGGGTGACAGGTGACCATTGGGGACATGGTGGTGGGCCTGTCCCCATCCTGTAGGGGTGATTAGGAAGGGATGAGGGAGACAGAGGGGGCCAGGGAGGGGCTCTGTGTGGAGGTGACATTGGGACCAAGTGAGAGAATGAGTCAGGTGGAAACAGCCAGTGCAAAAACACTGAGGCAGGACCTGCCAGACCCATCAGGGGAGAGCCAACCGGCTGAGGGCGAGCTAGCCACAGATGGTCAAGCGTTAAGGATAGACTATTAGGGCCTACCAGCCACAGTGTAGACTTGGGATTTTGTCCTAAAGGAGATAAGAAGCCACGAAAGAGATGGACAGAGAGGTCAGGACGGCTCGAGGCCCGGGACAGGCTGGTCAAGCAGGGCAGATTTTGGTGGGAATGAAGTGTTCAGTTTGCCCAATGGGGTAGCAGCCTGCACCTCCTGACTGCCACCTCTCTCCTGACTCCCTATCCAAGCAGTTGCCCCGGCAACCAGACCCAGGGTCAAGGCTGGTGCAGACGGCGGCAGGGAAAGGAGGGCCCAGCCACGTTACCTCCACAACAGGGTCGGTGGAGTACTCCTTCAGGATCTCCAGAACTTCCGGGTCCCCGATGGCCCCCAGGGCCTCCCCTGAGAAAAACGAGACACAGCCCCTGTTGATTGGTTGGCTGGGAAAGGCCCTGGGCACTTCGGGGGACACACGCAACAGGTGCTCAATAAAAACATTTGTCCGGCTCGGCAAGTGGCTCAGTTGGTTAAGAGCTTGCTCAAGAGTGCAAGCTCTGGGTCGGCCGAGTGGCTCAGTTGGTTAAGAGCTCGCTCAAGAGTTTGAGCTCTGAGCAACAGCAGTTCGATGCCTGGCCCAAGCTGAGCTGCCGCTAAGTTGCCAATAGGTAGCAGGATGGCTCAGCTAAAAAAAATAAATAAATAAAAAATAAAAAGAGTGCAAGCTCTGAGCAACAGGGTTGCCGGTTCGATTCCCACATGGGCCAGTGAGCTGTACCCAAGCTGAGCTGCCAACAGGTGGCAGGATGGCTCAGCTGGTGAGAGCATGTGCTCTTAACAATAAGGTTGCCTGTTCAAGATGGTGGTGGGCTATGTCCGCCCGCAACTAAAGACTGAACTTGGCACCCTGAGCTGAGCTGCCACCCAGGTGGCTCAGGGGATAGAGCGCGTGCTCTTAACAAGGCTGCCGGTTCAACTCCTGCATGGGATGGTGGTGGCTATGCCCACCCACAATTAACTGAACACAGCACCTTGAGATGAGCAGCGCGACTCGGAGCTGAGCTTGCTGCACCCTCCAGAAAGAAGACTGAAGGACAACAACTTGGCTGTTCCCCTTCCCCAATTTCCCAACACTGTTCCCCTCTCCCAATTCCCCAATAAAATAAAATACAAATACAAATTAAAAAAATAAACTTAAAAAAACATTTGTCCAATGAATGCATGAAACAGATACCGGGTTGGCAGTCTACAGAGCACACCACCTGTTTTTTAATCAAGGGGATAATATTTCACGGCATGTGAAAATTATATGAAATTCAAATCTCAGCGTCCATCAAGTTACTGGCACATAACCAGACCCATCTGTTGACTGGTTTATGGTGGCTTTTATGCTGTAATAGCAGAGTTGAGTTGTGGCAACAGACTGTCTGGCAGGACTGAAAATCTTTACTACCTGCACATTTGCTGAGCCCTGGTTTGGATCATGTGTGAGTGAGTGAACACGCCCTCACCCCTGCCACTCACCTGCTTCGTGGCGAACCATGGGCTCCTGGCAGGTGTCACGCAGCACGTCCACCAGCACAGGGATGGCCCGGCGGTCCTGCATCTGGCCCAGGCAGTAGGCAAGCTCGTGCTTGAGCAGGGCAGAGTCATCGCTGAAGGCCCGGCTAATCCAGATGATGGCGGCCGGGCCGCCAAGCCCTCTAAGTGTGAAGAGTGCCCGGAAGCGGGCCTGCAGGGGCTGCTGGGGGTCCACCAGTGTCTGCCCAATGGCCTCCACCTCCTGCTCCGTTACCATAGCGCCTACCTGTTTCCTTCCGCAGCCTTTCTCCGGCACAAGAACCTATGACGGAAAACCAAAATGCCAGGTTAGAGGCATCCTTCTCATGCTCACTGATTTGTTCATTTAAATTAGGACCTGGTGGGGTGGCTTTCTACCCCACCTGGGCATCTAGGTTGACAGTCTGACTCTGGCCCCGCCCACTTGCTGTGTCGCCCTACCTAAGTTACTTTCCCTTTTTGGGCCTTTGGCCTATACATCAGCAATGACCTCCACTGGTCTGCTCTCCACACAGCAGCCAGAGGGACTGTGGTAGCTGGTCCTCAAGATGGCCCCCAACCCCCCCACCTCTTGGTATCAGTGCCCTTAAGGCCCCCTCCTACAATGAATAGGCTGACCTGTGTGAACAGGATATGGAAGAAAGACAATGTGACTTCTGAGGGTAGATAGGTCATAAGAAGCACTGTAATTTGTTACACAGCACAGGTAATTGACACAGGAATCCTTTCAGCATATAAACCAGACCATGTGACTGCCATGCAAAATACTATGGTGCCTCATTACTCTAAAATCCTTGACAGTCCCAAAAGCCCTGTGTGACCTGCCCCTGTCCCTTCCACACCCTCACTTCCTCCCTCTCTCCCCCTTGCTCATTCCACTCCACCAAACAGGCCTCCTCACAGTTCTCCGACACACCAGGCACAATCCTGCACCAGGGCCTTTGCATGAGCTGTTGTCTCCCTCAGGAACACTCTCCCCAAAATGCCCCCATGCTCACTCTCACTTCCTTGAGTCTCAAATGTCATCGCCTCAGGAAAACCTTCCATGATCACAATCTTCAATGTTGCTCCTCCATCTCTTTTCCTTGTTCTGCTTTATCTTTCTTCGAAGTACTTACCACCACTAGATACCGGATGTTTTTTAGGTTATGGTCAGTCTGATTGCTCACTAGAACTCTGAAGGCAGGGAACGAGTCTCTCTTAGTCACTGCTATACTCCCAGCACACAGGAGGTCCTCAACAAGGACAATAACCCTAACAGTAACAGCAGCTGGCATTTGCAGAGCATGTACTATGTGCCAGGCACCTCTTCTTAGCGCTTTACATCATGAACTTGTTTAATCCTCACCATAACCCGATGAGACAGGCACTAGGATTGTCACCATTTTACAGGAGAGGAAACAGAAGCACAGAGAGATTAATGACTTGCTTAGAAACATCATGAAGTTATGAATCCAAGAGTCTAGGCTCCAGAATCGAGCTCTAAACCACAGCCACTGTGTTGAATGGATGAAACGACACAGCTGGGAGGAGGGTTCCCTTTCAGTCCTCTAGACCAATGAGGACCTCGTGGCCGCTTCATAAACATGACAAGCAGGCTGCAGCATGCCAGCAGCCCTCTGGCTCCCAGCAGCATCAGCAGGGCTACCCGGGGTTTAATAAGAGAGGTGCTGCTGTTTGAGCATAGGTGACCATCAAAAGAGAGGTCACCTGAAAGAGGGATCATCAGAATCCACAGAAGCCAGGAGTGTGCCACAGCAAGTCAAGGGCAGGTGGGACTCAGGACTCCTGACAGGCCCTTGATAAATATTTGTTGAGGAATCGAACATCTGCTTGCCAGGCACACCTCTAAGCACTTTGTACACAGTACAAATCCGTATTATCTGTAAAACGGGCTGAAGTGGGCACAAGAACCTCACCGAGTTACTGTGCTGAAGTTACGGTCATACAATAGGGTGCCGGGCACAACCGCTGCCACCCAGTACCCACTTAATAAACCTGAGCTAGTATTAAATATTTTTGCAGGGAGCCGACACATGCCTCTGTGCTCACGAGGACAAGGGAGGGCACACCTATCACCTCAAAGCCCGCAGCTCACACCTGAGGCCCATTTTTCAGTGGGATGGGGGACCAAGGTGTGTATGTGAGGTTGAGGGGATCAGTCCCCAACCAACGCAGAATGTGGGAATCCGTTCATACCTGTGAAGGTCTCAGAGACAGACAAGATGAATTAGTAAGGTATAGAAGAAGAGGAGACCTAGATCCTGGAAATCCTCCCTTTCCTTGAGACCTCTCTAAAACAAGAATTCCCAACAAAAAGATCTCTGGTAACTAGACTCCCAACCCCCCAGAGGGGATGCCCCACACGGGATCCTTTAGGGCTGCTCGCCGGATCCCTGTCCTTGGAAGATACTCCTAGGTACCGGATGCCTCAAGATCTGTCTACGCAGATCCCCGACTACCGGATCCCTCACAAACTCGTTCTCTCAGAACGCCGAGAAAGGAGGCGCCCGACATGGGACCCCACACACACATGCGCTGGGTCCCCAGCTAAGGGATCCCCGGAGAATGACCCCCAGAACCCGGGAAAGAGCTTGCCGGGACGCAAGACCCCTCAGGAAAAGAACCCTCAAACCGCCACCGAATACATCCCAGAGCTGGGATCCCCCAACGAAGCGTCCACCCCATACCTGCCCGCCAGATCCGCGTCCCGCACCGTGCTCCCCGCCGCCGGAACGCCCTAACGAACTCCGGAAACGCAGGGCCCGCCAGGATGGGTCGCCGCCGCCGCCTCACCAACCGCGACGCTCGAAGTGTGCTCTGGGGGCCGCCATCTTGCTGGCCACGTGAGCTGGCCGGACTGCACCAAACGCAGGGCGCAGGGGGGAAGTGCCCGTCAAAGGTTCCTCGGCGGGAGGAGGCCCAGGAGCGTCAGTCGGCACCGGTACCATAGCTCACACTTCCACACCAGTGTGAGTCTAAGGACATTCCTCAGGAAAGGGAGAGGGCAACGTTTATCCTTTCCCCAGAACAGATTTCCTGCTGCCTCCTGACCTTGTACAACAGGTGAAAATGGTTTGTGCCGATTCAGCCCCGAGGGGGCGTGGCTAGAGACGGAGCACGCGCAGCAACCTGGGGCGTGTCCAAACTCTAGGGCGTGTCCAATTGACGTGGCTTGACGCGAGACTGGGAAGGAATTAAAACAAAAAAAAAAAGAAAAGGTTCATTCATTTATTCATTTACCGAGGAGTAAATGGGTCCTAAAGACAAGACAGCCTGCCGGCTTTACCCTTGAGAAGACGCTGGAGTGTCGTAATCAGGGAAACGACATGCCCTGACTTAGGTATTAAGAGGATCATTCATGCTGGTGGGTAGAAATAGACAGTAGGATTCTGGGTTAATTTTGAAAGAAAACAGGATTTGCGGATGGATTGGATATGGAATTTGGGAGAAAGAGTCTTATCTTGTCAAGGATAAATACAAGGTTGTTGACATGAATAAGTGGAGGGATGGAGCGGCCATTAACCATTAGCCTCCCCATCCAGTCCATCCACAGTCCTGTTGAGTCTACCTCTGAAAGAGTCTAAATCAGTCACTTCGCTCAGCTTTTACAGCCCCTATGAGGGTCCAAGTCACCACTGGCTGTCACCAGGATGCTGTCCACACAAGAAAAAGGGAGTTTTTAAGTGACTATGTCAAATCAGTGTGGTGGTTCCTCAAAAAGTTAAACCCACATGAGAAAAGTATACACCTAAAAAAAATGAAAGCAAGGACTCAAACAATTGTCTACCCATGTTCATAGCATTATTCACAGTGGCCACAGGCCCTGTTAACTTCTATTATATTCTCTATGAATTTGATTTCTCTAGGGACCTCATAAAGTGGAATCATACAATATTCTCCATTTGTGTCTGGCTTATTTCACTAAGCATAGTGACCTTAGGATTCATCCATGTTGTAGCATGTATCCCTTTCAAGGCTGAATAATAATCTATCGGTTTGGATGGACTACATTTTTGTTTATCTATTCATCTGTTGATGCACACAGGTTGTTTTCATCTTTTGGCTACTGTGAACCATGCTGTTGTGAACATGGGTGTGCAAGTATATTTGATTCTCTATTTTCAAATTTGGGGGATGGATGTCTAGGAGTGGTATTATTGGATCATATGCTTACTCTATGTTTAACTTTTGAAAAAATCCTCATACTGTTTTCCATAGCGGCTGCACCATTTTACATTCCCACCAACAGTGCACAAGTGTTCTAATTTCTCCATATTCTCACCAACATGTGTTATTTTCCACTTTTTGGTAGTAGACATTCTAATAAGTGTGCAACTTATTTTGAGATGCATAAAAATTTTGATATATTGATGAGTGGATACAAGGATGGATAGATATATAATAGAGAAAATATAGCAAAATAGTAATTGGAGAAAGTGAACAGTGGGCATATGACAATTCACTGTAAAATTCTTTCAACTTTTCTATACATTTGAAAGTTTTCATAATAAACCACTGGAAAAATAGGTGGCGGGGAAAAGGAGGGCTACTTCTATTCTTAGTGTTTGAGTATTTCCAAGTTAAACATTTGAAAAGTGTTTTAACTTTTAAATGTGGAACCTTTGAGTCTACAAATCCATTGTGACAAAGTTATCTGGCAGCAGTGTAAAAAAAAAAGTGAAAATGAAGTACTCATTGCAACATTATTTGAAATGGCAAAAAGAAACTGGAAAAACACAGCCCTGCCTCTGCCTCCTCTGGGGTCCAGCCCCCATCATCACTTACCTGAACTAGTGTAGTCCTCTCCACCCAGGACCCACTGGCTCCTGCTCTCTTCCCCCTCAGTCTGTACATCCTACAGCAGTCGCGAGAGGGCGCCCGTGAGCACCCAAATCAGCCCTGTCTCTCCTCTGTCCTCAGCCCTCCAGGGCTCCCACCTCCTTTGGGTAAAAGCCCAAGTCCTCCTTGCGGCCCACAAGGCCGTGCATGATCTGCCCCGTTTCCTCCCCATGCTCACCTCCTACCTTTCTCCCCCTCTCTCACTGCTCCAGCCACAAGGGCCTTTTCGCTGTTCCTCAACACACCAGGCATGATCCTGCCCTAGAGCCTTTGCACATAATGTTCACTCTACCTGGAACATTTTTTTCTTCCAAATATCACTGTTCACTCCCTTGTTGAAACCTTTGCTCTTTTGCTCAAATGTTACCTCCTCAATGAAGCCTTCCCTGAGCACTTTAATTATTATAAAATCATAACCTCACCCCCAGCATTCCTTTATCCAGCTTTCTGCTTTATTTTCCCCCATAGCATCTATGTTTTACTGTATGTTTTTCTACTTATTTTGTTTACTGCCTGTCTTCTGCACTAGGATATAAACACCATGAGAGCAGGGATTTTTGTCTGCTTTGTTCTCCATGAGATTATACAGTCTGTCTGGAAAATAAAAATAGAGCCCTTGTGGTGGAAGCAGTCCCACTATAGTCCACTCACGAAATTCCTGATAGTGACTCTTGTGAGTCAATACACATGGGCTCCAGCACATCACTAATTGGACCCCCAGCACCTATTACACACCTGGCACAGTAGGTGCTGAATAAACATTTGAGGGGGGAATAAATGAACCATCCATCAATAGGGGGACTGATTAAATAAATAATGGATTAAAAATGCCATGCATAGCAACAAAGTCACTTTGATAGGCCAACTAAGGGTTTAAGATATTCGGTCATTCATTTCACAAATATTTTTTGAGCATCTACTGTGTGGTAAGCACTGTCCCAGGCATGGAGGACATAGAATGAAGCAGTCTGTCTTCATGGAGCCAATCTGATTATTGTTATTTTATTGTTTTCCTATGTGTTCAAAAGCTGATCGCGAATAACTGGCTTTGCAGCTGACCTTGGCTGGCTTGCAAGGACACCATCTTGACCATGTTTTGTTACTCAGGCTAATGTTCTTGGCGGGGAATTCCCATGGGCCAGGTGCTGTTTATTCTAGAATGTACAGGGCAACAGGCCAGGTGTGATCAGCCCCAAGGCTGCTCTGGGGGAAGGAGATAGGCCCAGGGCTGCAGGAAGCAAATATGGAAGCCACACCCAAAAGCAAGGTTTGTGTCTGTCAGGGAACTTGGACTCCTGAACTGCAGACCTGTGAGAACCTGATAGCAGGAGTGAAACCTGCACCTTCCATTCTAGGCCTCCTCTATGCTTGAGCAAGGCCATGGAAGCCAGGAGTCCAAATTCCAGGTGCCCGAGGGCCGTGCTCCCTCCAAAGGCTCTAGGCAAAGGCCCTTCCTGCTTCTGGTGGTGGCCTGTAGTCCTTGGCTTGTAAACACATCACTCCAGTGTCTGCCTTGTCTTTCCATGCCATCTCCCTGTGTCTGTGTCCAAATTCCCTCTTCCTATAAAGACACCAGTCACTGGACTGGGGGCCTACCCTACTCCAGTGTGACCTCAGCTTAACTTGACTGCAT